TTCTCTTGAGAATGACATCATGGATTATATATATATGTATGCATACATATGTGTATATATGTATATACACATACATATGTATGTATGTATATATGTATGCATACATATGTGTATATATGTATATACACATACATATGTATGTATATGTATGTATGCATACATATGTGTATATATGTATATACACATACATATGTATGTATGTATGTATGTATATATATATGTTATATATAAAATATTCTATTTGCAATACAGAGAGAGGAGGTACCCAAGTGAGAGCATGGTGCCCAAGGCCAGAAAGTCAGAAGCAAAGCTGGAAGGGGAATAAAAGATTGGCTGGCCAGGGCCCCTCCCAAAATGGAAGCCCTGGGAAGAACTCACCAGTGGGAGATAGGGGGCAGCATAGGGGAGAGGTGAAAAGACCATGGGAGAAGTTGGATATTTTAGTCTGAAGAGGCTTCAGGTACTACAGGAAGTTCTAGGGTGAGACTGCTGCAGTGGGAGAAGGGGGCCAGGCAGTTTGGAGGAGGGATATTCCAGGGTGAAAAGACCATAGGGGAAAATATCCCAAACTGAACTTATCAGTTATCTCATCAGGGGAAAGAGGGAAGATGGTAAGTTCAGTTTGGGATATTTTCAGTTGAAATGACAGTAAGATGTCCATGGAGGGATGATCTATAGACATCTAGAGGCATGGACCTAGAGCTAGTGTGAGAGGCCATAATAGTAACTTTTGTTTACATACTTACTCTTCAAAATATCCATGACTTTATACATGCAATTACTTCTTTTCACCAACACAAATCACAAAACTTTCATGCATTAGTGGACTTACATGAACAACATGAGTTGCCACAGGCAAAAAATCTATTCACCTGTTGATGGTCAGCTTTCTGATAATAAGCTTCTCTCAGCCTAAGGAGACTGGTCCTCATATGAAGAGAGGCTCTGGCTAAGGCCATTCCATTCAAAGCCCTTCCATTTTGGCAAGGCCTGACAGAGGTTCTGCTGACATAGACTTTACTAGCCTAAAGTCACCTCTGTACCACAATAGAGAACATTTGTGGAGCTTTATTTAGTGTTTTTGTAGAGTGTGAATTGGCCCGTAGGGGCCATCCCAAGGATCATGCACCTGGAGGTCCAATGGAAATTCTGGGGATTTCAGGGACTTGGTTACTCATCACTTGGGTTAGAGCAGAGGAGATGAGCTTCCTGACTACTTTAGTACCTCAGAAATTAGATTCATTGTTTTGGTACCATTTTCATTGCTGTTTTGTCATTTCAGACTCTTCATGACCCATTTGAGGTTTTCTTGACAATGATACTGGAGTGGTTTGCCATTTTCTTCTCCAGCTCATTTGACAGATGAGGAAACTGAGGCAAACAGGGTTAAGTGACTTGCCCAGAGTCACACAGCTAATAAGTGTCTGAGGCCAGACTTGAATTCAGGGCTTCCTGACTCTAGGCTCAGCCCACTTTGATACCATACAGAAAACCAAATTCTTCCTGTTTTATGATGGTGGCAAGGGGGGACAAGGTGGGCTGTGTCAATTAAAAGGAGAAACAACTCCCAGCTGCTTTCCTTTTGCTTTTGGGAAGTAATGTGACTTGCTCTTAACCTCTACCCCATGGCCGAGTCTATGTGGAATTTGGGTTCAACAAATGGAACTCAAACCTGGTCTTTTTTTGCTTTATATTTCCTTCCTGAGTAAGGGGCTGCACATTCTTCTGTAGAAGGATGTGCCCAGGCTTAGAAGTGACTCTGTGATTTTAGATACTGGGTCCAATGACTGAAGCTGACAAGTGGCAAGGAAAGCATCTACATCAGAAAATCAACTACCACCAAGTGGAGAAGCTGAAGGTCTGCTTCCCAGAAGACATGAACTGTGAATGAGACAGTGCAGAACCAAGGTGAAATAGTAAATGTTCAATTAGTAGTCTTACAGACTGCGTCCTGTTTAGATGGTGTTAATGATCAATCTCCCAACATGGTACAACAGTGGTTAACACTGTGTGTTATTTAGTTTCAGTCTTACTATAAATGCTTGTGAGATTCTTTTAGTTTTTTAGCATTTCTTTTGTTTGTAGGAAAAACAACAACAAAAATTTGTCCTATACCTGGGCTATATTGCATATTGAGTAACTTTCCACTCCCTCCTTTAGGGGAAATCCTAAATGTGAGCTTAACTCGAAGCTTTAACTAATTTGTCCCCGGGTACTAGTCTAGGGGGTGATTGACTGTGTCAAGACGAATCCTAGCACTCCTCTCAGTAGAGGCCAGAATCTCCCAGGAATAAACCTAGCTGGACTGAGAGAATGGAACTATAACAGAAGGGCCCCTTAAGAAAAGTGGGTACAGTATCCCACTCTATTTGGTCCCAAAGTGGTTTACTTTTGTTGGACTTTACATTTGCGAAGCGTTTTGTTGCTCGTCCTTCATTCTGGAAGAAGACCAAATACATCACCAGGGTGATGTCTTGACTTTCCTGTGAATTGAATTCTAGTGAGGTAAAGCTACACAAAGTCATCAGCCTCATTCTCTCCTCCAGAGTCATCAAAATCCAGTGGCAGAACAAAAGTCAAGATGGCTCAGGATGCAGAGGGTAACCCTGGCCTTGGAAGCCTGGCGTATGGGTAGAACGCTAAACCTGAAAGCTAAGCGGTACAGTGGATAGAGCATCCTGCCTGGAGTCAGAAACACCTGAGTTCAGATGCTCCCCAGTGTGACCTGGACAAGCATGTCACTTAATCCCTATAGTTTCCTCATCTGTAAAATGGGGATGATAATAGCATCTCTCTCCCAGGGTTGTTGAGAGAATTTAATGAGATAATAATTGTAAAACATTTACCACAATGCCTGGCACATAGTAAACACTATATAAATGTTAGCTATTCTTATTATTTTCATTAAATCAGAAAGATCTGTGCTCAAATCTGATGTTTGACACATACTAGCTGTTAAATTCTCTAAACCTCAAGGACCTCTCTAAAATTTTGAATTATAGACAGGTAACAGTGATATTAAAATTTCCATGCTTATTTCATTTGAGCTAAGACAACTCCATGAGTTGGTTAATGATGAATATTGTTATCTCCACTGTACAGAGAAAGAAACTCAAACTTTTAGAGGCTGAGTGACTTATACAAAGTCATGCAGCTAGGAAGGAAGTGGAACTAGGGTGAATCCAGATTTTTAAACTCTTTTTCCAGTCTTTCTTGCCCTATACTATGTTGGCTATACATTTGGTAGACTTTACCATAGAGATGATGACCCCATGATCTGATGTCATCTTTAAGGGAGAGAATACAGTGAGGTGAAGAAGGCAGAGGGTCAAAGACTGAACCTTAGGGAAAAACCGAGGTGAAAAGGCAATGGGATAAAGAGGAGTCACTAAAGAAATAAGACAAAAAGTAATAATTGGAAAATTAGGATAATATAGCATCACTGAAACCAAAGGGATAGAGTTTTTCAAAAAGAATGGAGTTATCAACAGTGGCAAATCCACTGTGAAATCTTTTCTTATCATCCCAACTAAAATCAATCTCCTTTGAACTCTCATTTTTTTATTCAACAAACATTTTTTGAGTAACTACCTAGAGTATTTGTTATCGTAATACTCAGATGACATTTATACATGACCTTGTAGTGTATACACATATCTCTTTCTCTAGATTGTAAACTTAAGGAGGGCAAGGACTTTGCTTTATTCTTTTTTTTTTTTAATTTTATTTTCCTCCATCACAGGCTTTAGTATGGAATAAATGTCTGTTGATTGACTGACAGTTCAGTGCAACTAAGAGGTGAAGGAGAATGAGGATTAGACAGTGAGAACATCACTACCTTTAAGAGAGCAGTTTCAGGAACACAATGGAAGCAGACTGCAGGATTGTTTAGGAGAGAGAAGAAACAGGAAACTGAGAGGTTTTGACAGGGAAAATTAGGTACACAGGACTAGACGTGAGAGCAGGGCCAAGTGAGGGTTCTGTTGTTACTGCTGTTGTCGTTTAAGTAAAGGAGGATACCGTGCAAGGCAGAGGAAAAGAAGCTGGTAGAGATGGAGTTATCGAAGATGCTTGAAGGGGTTGGCATAATTGGGGAAACAAAGTCCCTCAGGAACTGGAGGGCATAGGCTTAAGGGCACAGGTAGATGGTTGGCTTACAGAGTGGGAGGGAGGAACACAGCGCTTTCTGAAACTAGAGGGAAAGGTTAAGAAGATGAGTTTTGATGGCGATGAGGTTAAATGTTAGAGCTCTTTCAAGATGGTATATAGTAAGTACAGTAGGAAAGATTTTCGCCTTTTCCCCAGGAGATCCACAATTAAGGGAGGGAAAAACGGGTCTCCATTCAGCTCCTAAACTGGCTACAGAGCTCTCCTCTGGCCTTTCCATTCCCCTCCCTCTCCCTCTACCTCCTCACAGTCCATTTTTAGGGGCACCTCCCAAGCCCATTGCAGAGGCCCCTCTCCCCACCTTGCCATCAGCTGCAGAGAAACCTCTTCTCCCCCTCCCTCAATCGTTCCCTTAAGTCGAGAGGCGCCACTCCTCCCCTTCCAAAGGCTACTCTCCCCTGTCTCCTCCCCGCTGCCGGGGTTTCCAGTACCCTCGGGTACCGCCCACCTGGCTGCCTCTGCAGGCGCCCCGGGATGGGGGAGCAAGGTTGCAGCAGGAGACTCGGGAGTGGTGGGGAGGATGTAGAGGGAGGAGGGCTTCTCAGCTTCGGGTCCCCTTCCCCACCTTTCCTCCTCTCCTTCTGCTTTGTTGCTATTAGCAGCACCCCTACCCACTCACGCAGGACTCTCTTTTGGGGTTCGGGAGCTTCAGGGATGGAGATGAGTTGGGTAAGGGGAAGGAAGGAGAGAGACAGGAGAACGAATGGGTAAGCGACAGAATCACTGAGGCTGAGCGGGGGAAGAGGAGGAGGGAAAGAGAGAGAGAGGGAGCAGAGCGCTGTGGGGGCAGCTGATGCTGATGGGGGGAGGAGGATAGGGAGGAGCTCCGCGGGGTGGCAGTCAGGAAGGGAGGGGTCTTAATGGGGAGGCGGAGGGTGGAACAGAGTTTCTCCTCCCCTGGAGCCCAGATCAGATTTCCTCTAGAGGCAGAAGAAAAAGCAAAGATCCCACCTTCACTTCCCTCTGCCTGGCCCGAGTGGGCTTGTCCCCTGCCTCTCTGCTCTGCGCCGTCCGCCCGTGACCCAAGGAGACCCAGGATGGTGAGGGAGCTGGAGGGGCGCCGGCCTCACGACCGGCCGGCCCAGGGTCCTGGGGTGGCTGGGCTCAAGGGAGCTCCTGGAGAGAAGAAAGGACAGGAAAGGGCAGCGGGAGGAAGTTTGCAGGGTGGGGACTAGGTGTGGGGGGGGCTGCATTTCTTTCTCTCTTTCTCTACCCCCCACCCCACCACACGCCAGTCTCCCCATGATGCTCTCTCTTTCGCAGATCTGGAAAAGCCTGCCCGTGCTCGCCCTGGTGGCCATCGCCTGGGTCCACGCTGAGGTATGTGAGCTGCCCCCCAGTCTGGCCAGGCTACTCGAGCTGCCGCAGCTGGGTCATTCCTGCGGCTGGCTGCACCGCCCCGGGGCTAACCCTAAAGCTGTAGCGGACTCGGGAGAAGTAAAGTGGGGAGGGGGGTGGTGGGAGAAGGATTGAGAGAGTGGCCTCTGGGCTGCGTGTGACCCTCCTCCTCCTGCGAAAGTTTAGTATAAACCCTAAATTGGCAAAAGTCGGCTGGGCAGAGCAAGACAGACACTCGCGCGCACACACACAGCATTAACATGGAGGGAGTGGGGTCTGGGAGAGGGAGAGAGCCTCCAGAATCCAACCGAGACCAGAGGAGGTGTCCCACATGCTGTGGAGTTCTAAAAGACGTCTTGAGCTGCCCTCTCAATGGGGAAGCCTTCCTTCTCCACTCCCCAACCCCCAACCGCCCGCCAATACTATCTGCCCACAAAGAAAACGCTGGGCTAAAATGGAAGAAAATGTCTCTCCTCTTTCTCCCTGGAGAAACTGGAGTGAAAAAAAGTTCTCTTTCTGAAGTGAGTTAGATGATTTCCCTGAGATTGTTTCCCTTCCTGCCCTTCTCTCTAGCTTAGCATTCAAGTCTGAGACGCTAACAGGGGCAGACTTATACCCTCTTAAGTACCAGAATGAAAATGATCCCTTAAACTTTGCACGAATGTTAGTGATGTATCTGGTACTTGCTTTGGGGGTCTAGGATTATCAGTGAAAGTATTTCAGAGTTTTCCTTGCAAATGTTTCCTTTTAAACTTTGAAGCCTCTGTCCTATCATTAGGAATAGACAGACCCTGCACCCCGGGAACCCCTTCACTCATCCCCCATGAACTCTAAGGTCTATTTTCAGAAAATAAACAATACTAAATACCCAGGGGGTTCTGGCCTCCAAAAACAAGTGAAGTCAGAAGCCAAATATTTGACAATTACTACAGGAAATGTGGAAGGAATTAAAAAGCACGAACCCAGTAACATGAGGGAGAGAAAATGGAATGTGCATTACAAAAGTAGGTCCCTGGTGGGTATTTCTTTTCCCTTCATGTTGCAGCTCTGCCCCACCCTTCTTCAAATCACTTCTCGACTCTGCTCAGGCAAATCATAAGCACAAATGATTTTCTTAAGATAGAAAAGTCTTCAAACTCATTCTTATTCTCTTCCCTGTCATCTTATTGATTGAGCCTGAAAATCAGAATGAACAATGCAAGGCATAATTAGTGATTTGTAGTGCTTGGCCTAAACCTAGCTAGTAGTTTGAGCTCACCTATGACTTTGATCACTTCTGTTCCAACTGTCTGTAACTAAGGGAGAAGAGTCCTCTGTCCTTTGACAGAACTCGGTGACTTCGGGGACTTAAAAAATTGAAGCAGCTGCTGCCAAGAGGCAGATGTGTTGAAATTAGTTTCTTGCCAAGCTTAAAAATTATTAGCGTGGGTCCCTGTATGTCCTGGCAACTTCTTGGGATCATAGATTTAAAGCAGGAAGTCTGTGTCTGCTATGTTGCTCCGCCCACTCTCTCTGTGCTCCTTTTGGGGAATATAGAGCTATGTTACATTGCCCAGGCTGCTTATCCTGCTGTAATTATTACGCTATTCAGAAAGTCTGAACTGTCAAATAAAGCTCCCCCAGGATGGCAGTTTCTTGATGAAGATGGAAAAGCATGAAGAGCTAAGTCTTACATACTGTTGTTGCTGTTGCTGTCGCTGTTGAGTCCTGACTCTTCATGGCCCCAGTTGGGGTTTTCTCGACAAAGATAGCTGGAGTGGTTTGGCATTTCCTTTTCCAGCTCATTTTACAGATAAGGAAACAGAGGCAAATAGGGTTAAGTGGTTTGCCAAGAGTCATACAGCCAGTAAGTATCTGAGGCTGGATTTGAATTCAGGTCTTTCTGATTCCAGACCCTGCTCTATCTACTGCACCACCTAGATGCCTCAAGTCTTACTTAAGTCATTCTTAAAATTCTTGGGGAAAAAAGAGGTAAAAAGAAGAAATATTATGAGAAGGAAGCAAAGACTTAGAAACTGAGGGTGGTAGAAATGAGGGAGGCTCTTAGCGTATTGTGGGTGAAAGTAGATAAGAGAGGGAGGAAGGGAAGGAAGTAAGTGACAATAGGGCTAATTTTATATGTCTGTGCTTATCTCTTAGCTCCCTTTTATCCATCAGTCAATTTCTTAGGTGTCTGGTACTGATTGACATTGGTGAAAATCACCTCTAAGGATTCCTTTAACAGGGTGGACTTCAAATCGAAAAGACTTGTCTACTTATATCCATAATCTTAATGATAATAAATCATATCTCATTCATGCTACAGATCAATTGTCTCCATGTAGCATGAATTTGCTGCATCAAATATTGTTTTAATGCATCTTATGGTTATTGGCTCCCATGATAGAGAGGCAGAGTGGTCCAGTCAATAGAAAACCCTTCTTCTTTTTTTTTTTTTTGCTAGGCAATGGGGTTAAGTGACTTGCCCAGGGTCACACAGCTAGTACGTGTTATATGTCTGAGGCCGGATTTGAACTCAGGTACTCCTGAATTCAGGGCCGGTGCTCCATCCACTGCACCACCTAGCTGCCCCTCAGAACCCTTCTTAAAGGGAGGAAAACCTCAGTTCAAATCCCACTAATGATACTGTATGACTCTGGCCAAGTCACTTGGTGTCTAGGCAATTCTCTGAAAACAGTGAGACTGAATTAGAGAAAATATGTTTAATATTTTGATAACATTGTTTTCCTTTTATCCTGTATATTTTATTTTATGTGCTTAAAATCATTCTTCTGAGAAAAGGTCCATAGGTTTCAAAATTGTCCATAACACAAGAAAGGTGCTGTAAGACTCTAAAGTGCCAATCTGCATTGGCTGGTAGAGGAAGGTGTCTCCCTCAGAGCTCACTATCATTCCAAGGCAACTACAGGTCTAGTCCCTATCCTGATCCCTATGTCATAGTAGAAAACACAGTCATTGTTAGTTACAAGGGGATCTAATATACACATGAACACATACACACAAGTGTAAACATACATGCATGCATATATACAGTTATACATCTATACATACATTTATAAATGCATGTACACACGTACATACGGAGAGACAGAGATATAGGTGTAGTTAAGGGGTAATAACCATCTTTAAGAGTCCTTAAAACTTTGGAAACTCACAAAAACTTTTTTTTCAGTTGACTAAAGTGGGAGTGATTTTTGGGACTTTTTCTTGGGAAATATAGGCTGTGTTTTTTTTTAATGGACTATTTGCCTCACTGTCTTTGGCTTACCTCTGAACAATTTGGAAGATGTGGCTGCCTGACCAAGGTGAAAAATATGTTCTTTTAAAAGGTATATCATATGTTGATTCTCTGTGTAAAGTAATTTCATAAGTGCATTTAACAAAACTGAAGTCACCTGATTGGTAATGGGTTTGTTTCAAGTTTCACACTGGTGAACTTTCTGTATCAGTTATGTCCAGCAACTTTTCAAATTTGGTTACCGCTAAAGTAAGTTAGCTATTGTTGGTTATTGTTTTAATATGTAAACTAGCCAAAAGTTTGTTTGGGTTATGTATGGCTTGCTGAGAATTCGCAAGTGTAAAGAAATCTCTAATGATTGACTTTTTACATCAGGACAAATTTCAGTTTGAGATGTAAATCCTGGAAAAGTTTTTCTTAAGCTGTGATTAGTAAAACTTGCTGTTTGAGGTAAAAGCTCATAGGATTTTATTTTGAGCTGTCTGATGGGTCATAATCCATCAATAATCAATAATCTGAGAGAAATGCCACATGCTACTCAGAGAAGGTGATACTGGTAGGAAGTGAGCATTGGGAAAAGCTAGGAGGACAATTTTAGCCTCAGTCTAAGATGGGATCCTCCTGGCTCAGTTTCCCCATTATGTTCCTTTGAAATGGAATGTTACCCACCTGGCTATTCCTGAGTCTGGCTTTGAGGTGGATTTGATACTGGATGGTTGGAAAACTGAATTGTCTGAATCCAAACAGAGCTAAGGATGTTTTATCCTCTCAAAGTTGGGCCCCAAATCTAGTCCCTGCTTTGTATCTGGGCCCTGCAGTTTTTTCTGTCAGATTTATGTCTTCCAGACTATGGGCCATTCACCTACAGTTGGTAGCAAACAGCAAGTACCAGCCAATATCCCCCCATGGCTCCCTGGATGCAGCCTGTGCTCGGTTCCAGTCAACCTCCTCTTTGGGACCCCCTCGAGGCAGGGACAGCTGTATGCCCCTTGCCAGCAGGAAGCAGCTTCAGAAGCCTCGACCTTTGCCACTTATTCCAAAAGAATTTGGGTCCCATTTGTTTGAGGGGGGAATGATGGGTTTGGGATCTGGGCCCCAAAAAGAAAAAACACTGGACTTTCCCACATGGCCAAATCTCTGGCATTTGACTGAGCCTATAATCCCATCAACTGGCCTTTCCTAGTGGTACGTGAAATCTTCTAATTCTCTGTTTCATTGTCTTACCTCCCTATGGCCCCTAGCCATTTCCCACACTTAATCCTAGCTAGGCTCCATTGTCCAGGTCCTAGGAGTTCAGTTCAATTTAGCATACTGGCCACTCCCATCCAGATCTCCTTAGACCCCTACTCCAGTCACCCCAAACTACTTGGCCACTCCTAGATCCCTCCCACAGGCTTTCTGTATATAAGGTCCATTTTGTCTCCATTAAGATGCTGGGATTCCTAAAATCTAGCCACTGCTTAGATTCTTATAACCTAGCCACTGCTCACTAATGTTCAGACTCCTTAAGAGTCTGCCCAATATGACGGATGTTCTAATAAACCTTGTCTTTGGCTGAAAAAAAAAAAGGTATATCATAGGATCATAGATCTGAGGTCATAAGGACCTTAAAAGATAGCTTCTGCAAAATAGCACCATTTTACCATTTTGCAGATAAGAAAATGAAAGGTTGAAGTCTTTCCCCAAGGTCACACAGGCAGCAAATAGCAGAGTAAGGCCTTAGATCCACAGCCTCTGGCTTCAA